CAGAAGCCTGGGGAGGCAGCCCACTCCTAAACCCATCCAGCTTAACACAAGAAGGAACATTTCTCCATTACCACTCTAGGTCACTGAAACAACCTGGGAGAGAAGCTCGCAAGCAGAGCATTCAATACATCCACGCCCAGCGAGGTTCCCTACACACAATATCATGCATATTAGAGAGGCACAACTCAGCTAAATATAGCTCCGCCAGTGATCTTGCATGCTCTGAGCTAAAAACAATTCAGTGCTCACACTTCATCGTTATGGCCACACAATCATTATCCATGGCAAAAGCATTATCCGCGGCATCAGGCAACCTGATGTAAAGGGTATGCGTACACTGCAGATCAAAGCAGATCACCGCGAGCTGAGATAAAACCGTGCCATGGCAATGGCCAGAGACACAAACGCTTTGCCCCGCATCCCTCGGGAATAGGAACAAGCACGAGTGGAGCGTTATCATTGTGACTCATCACAATGAGCGCGTAGATGCCGAGACAAGACACAAAAGCTAGAATATGCCCTTAAGTGTTAGAATCCAAAAATGGAGGCGCACGTTCCTTAAAGCGCTGCTCGACCAGGATGACGCTTCACACATGTGAACAAACAGACGGCTCCGAAGACAACACAAGTTGGTGATGTATTCAGCAGGTGCCCTTTTATACTTTCGGGTACCCGCCTATGATGTCACAGGCCACATGGACCAATAGGATTGGAGTTGTTTTACACATGCTTCAGACATGCTGGCAGCATTCCCCAAAGTGTCCTCCTGGATGCAGCATTGAGTGTAGGCAGACAACTAGTTCATGTCAGTGGAAATAAACATTAAAGGGACAGTTTACCAATAAAGTAAAATTGTCATCATTTACTCAACCTCATCTTCTGTGTAACACAAAATAAGACATTCTGAAGATGTTCTAAAGAATAGTTGTTTGGAATGAAACATGAATGAAGGGGTGAAATATTAATTTTACAATTGTTACATAGCTTAATTTCATTGCTCTTTGATGTTTCTAGGATATCAAAATGATTAATGAAGGGAGGCAGCCCATGTACCAGGAGGACATCGACAGGACAATCCTGAACTTACTGGAGCAGCTGAAATCTCTGGATCGAGATGCAGCCGAAGCCTCTCGTTTGCAGCACCCTCATTCTGAGATGATTGAGAAGGAGTGAGTACAAACCTCGTAACTCTGTCTATATAGCCTTTCAAATAAAATATCCAATTGCATCTCATGCCTTAATCCATGCAAGCAGAATTATATGCTGTGAATAAGGTTTTGTGGATGACTCATGTTTTCTCCTCAATGGAAAAGTATTAAACAGCTGCGAAAGCGTGTGATGAAGCTCCATGAGGAACATGATCGCATTTACCATTTCGCAAGATCGAAGAAGTTTCCCACCATCACCCGGGGAAAGATGGTTGCTGAGAAACTGGTGTGTATCTAAACATACCTCTCTTTCTTTCTTTCCTTTGAATATTCGGTTGCAAATGCAAATGATTCATGTAGTGATGGTGAAGTGAAGCGTTC